AAAATATCAGCTAATAGCAGCAGAATTACGGAACCGAAGATTTCGGTTTTTCAATAATTCAGTTTCTGTTCTTTTTCTTCTCACAAGTTCAGTTTTTAAAATTGTAGTTTATTCAATATTCCATTTGGTTTTTTATTTTTTAATGAAATAATAAAGTGGGTAATCCTAGACGAGTAGTCTGGATTATTATATATGACGTCCTTCATTTAGACTGTTTTACATTGTCAATTAATTTGTTGTTTGGTGAGTTGTGTGATCGCGCGCGCATGCGCTTACTTTAATACAACTTTTCGTTTTCTGAAATCTGAGGGGCGAGGGAGTGAGCAGAGTAGGTAGGAAAGGAAGAAAAATGGGAGTGAAGCAGCAGAGGTCATCTCATCATCGACGATTGCTTTTGTGGCTGATGACTTTGATTTCTTGGAACCAACTGCAACTCAATTTCGTGTCGGTCAGACACGCTCGCTCAGACCCAGATACGCCAATTGCTCCGAGATTAAGCCAACTACTAACCTGCAGTGGGGAACTGCAGAGTGGGAAGTTTCTCATTCTCTTGGCTCTTTTCGATGAAGCATCGTGCGGCTTTCTTGTTAGTCAGTCCATATAATCTCCATAAGACCCAAGAATTAACATAGCAATGCCTCACTTCCGTAGGTTTGGCCTTTGAATTTGTTGGGGAATTAGTAGATCAGAATGCTTATCAATCTGATCGTTTTTTTTTAATCCCGTTCCCAGAGCCAGAGGACACAAATACACAATGCTTATCAACGAAAATTTTGCTTCAATTAATCTGACAGTTTTCGTAAAACTATCAATACCAAACCAAAGATGGTGCAAGAAATTTATTGCTCTACTTTTTTTTTTTACTTCTAAGGTTGTGTTTGGAATGTAAATGCAAATATTTAGAGTATAAAACGGTTCATATAAATTGTAAAGTTGGGTAAGTTTTGCACTGACAAATTTATCTTACCAAACATACTTTTTAGCTGTAATGGATGCAAACATGAATTTCAATAAAGCATATGATTTTTTAACAAAGCCCACTTGAATGCAAATTTGCTTCTTTTTTATTGATGTACTTTTACATCTTATTAACAATGTAAATATACATTGATATGTCATTTGTCAATGCAAAAATGTAGTGTTGTCAAACACAAGCAAAAGTGAACTAGAGTGCAAATTTACCCTGAACCGGAATTTACACTCCATTTGCATCATTTCCAAACGCAGCCTAAAATTATGCCACTAAATCTCATTTTGTAACTTGTATTATTTCAATCTTTTATTAGTTTGGAGTAGAAGTACAAAAATGTTTTTTGTATATTCTTTTTCCTTGTTATGATTTATGAATGAAACTGTATATTTTCGAATTCTGATGTATATTCTTTTTCCTTGTTACAAAAATGAAACTGTATATATATATTCTGATGTAACCGTTTTTGGTCACGTATCATTTTTTCGTGATGTATCAATATTTTGGCTAAGTACCTCGTCATCTCGTCTGCTCCCATGTGGTCGGTGACTCAGAAGCTGAAATGGAGCTCCCTGGTGGTGAGCTGCTTGGTGGTGAGCTACCTTGATGAACTGCTTGGAGGTGAGCTACCTTGAGCTTTGTTGCTCTTTTAGAGGCCTGCAAGGAACCAGATGTCAGAGGACCCGGGGTGGCTAACCCGGCGAGGTCACTCCGATGGCTAAGTTAGCACTTAGTAAAGAGAGCTTGAAGAATGATATTAGAGAATGAGAGAGCTAAAGAGCAGGGGTTACCACATCTTCCTTCAGCCTCTTTTTGCATACCTTTGCCCCTGGGGGGTGAGGTCTTTATATACTGGAGTCTTCGTGGGTTAGGTGGAGTAGTTCCTAGATCCCAGCTGTGATGGGACTGGCTTGCGTGTTAGGTGGACGAAATGCCATCAAACGGTAAAATTGTCCCTTCTCATTAGAACCGGGGAGTGGGTGAGCTAATATAGCCGTTACAAGTCACAATCCCGTAAAATGTGGGGTACGGTGGTGAGCTCCTCGAGGTTGTCAGGTTAGCGCATGTGTCAAGCCGCCAGGTTGGTGCTTGGGCTAGGTCGCGCCAGGGTCAGGCTGCCAACTCGTGCCAAGGCCAGGCTACCAGCTCGTGTCAAGGCCAGGCTGTCAGCTCATGTCTAGGCCAGGCTGGCCAGCTCGTGTCAAGGCTAGGCTGTCAGCTCGTGTCTAGGCCAGGCTGCCAGATCGTGCCTGTGCCAGGCCGTGTTTGTGGGACACCATCATCTTAGCAAAGGCAAGTTGTTGCCAAAGTGGTCCCGGGTGTCACCTAGTTGTTCTGAGTTGCCAGGCTACAAGATGGTGGGATACCTATGGCGAGCTGTCTAGTGGCGAGCTCGAGCTGTCTAGCTGTCAAGGGGCTGCACTTAATTGGCATGAGGTGCCAGGTGTCACAATGTCATTGGAGGGCCAAATCCGCCCTCATCATATTCTAATTTTGTAAAAAAAAAATACAAAATATAAAGCCAAAAAAAATTCATATTTTGGTGAGGTTCTCCCTAAAGAATAATAGCAATCAAAAGAAAATGTTATTAGAGATGTCTGATAAGCGGACTTTTGGCTTTGTGAAGTGGGCCCCACTCAAACAGCCTGTAAGTGACATTTTTAGCCAAACAAAAAAAGAAAGAAAATGACTTTCCCATGAAGTTACTCTTTTGTTTTTCTTTTTTGAAAGTGGCTTTCACAAAGCAGAGCTTAATGAAAGCCACTCAACCAAAGCTTCAGCTGTGTGTCAACAATTGTGTTTGAGTCTCTCCAAACGTAGTGGCTGGAACCTATCTTGCAAGGCGCTGCCTAAAAGCCTCCTCCAAACGGGCACTAAACATAAATTCCTACTGGAGAACAATTAATTTTTATGAAGATTTATAAATACCCAGCTGCCCATATCGGTGATCATATCCCTCTTTTTCATTTTGAGTCTACTTGAAATTCAGTCTGGCCCTGGCCGTTGGTTTGGACACTTAATTTACCAACATTATTCAACAACCATAGTTTCAACGCTACGTTCAAATACAAGTGAACTTATTGATATACTAGCATTGTGGCTCCAAGAAGAAGACGGTGCAGCACAAATAACAGTCGACTGGCAAACCGACAAGGTAGGGACATTGTGGCTGCTTTGAAAGTCTGAACATTGAATCGAGTTTATGGCGTTCCGATCCCCTTACAGCTTTCTTGAAGAGAAATGATTCCATTTCATCTTTTGTACAACATACATTCTTGCGTTATTCACTTTTATTTATATTTTCTGTTTTGTTTTGGATGGGGATCATAAGTTAGATTTTAATTTGGTGGTGGCTGGTGGGTCATCTCATATTCTCGTCATGGAATAGGAATATTACTCCAAAATCTTGTTATTTTAAGGATCTGCCGGTAGGTATCGATGCCCCATTGACCACGTAATTAATATTAAAAAAAAACAGATATGAGAGTTTTCTTTCTTTCTGCAATTAAACAACTCTCCAGAATGAGAGCAAAGGTACAAGGCCATTTTCAGTGTTGTAAAGTCAATTTTGGAGTTTGTATTGGTCAGTTGATTTTCACAAATCAAAAAGAGAAAGAAGAAATGGATACATCTAATCAATCCCAAATTCCACTATTAACACTGATTTTTTACCAAGCCAGGCTCCGGTCCGAGGCACTACCACCAAGGCCTCATTCAGTTTTATTTGCATGGGTGAATGTATTATACAAGTGTTTCCTAGGTAAAATTTATCCTGATAAATATGCTTTCAGCGTTCTTTGTACGCTAACAGTTACACAGGTAAAGAGATAGGTGAGAAGGAGAGAGCGCTTACCAATGTGATTCTGTGGCTAAGTGACTTACCCATGTCGAGGGAGGGTATCAATTCACTGAGTGATTGACTAAAGTATTGGGAACATCTCCTCATGATACCTCATCAGGAGATGTTGCCGGCGGGGATGTGCTGTGGGATATTGTGGGGTGCCGTCTTGTGCGGAGGACTGATTTGATCTCACTAAATACCGGAAAATGAACGAGGCCTAAAGATAATTACATATTTACATTTCAATAATTAGCATGACCAACTTACCCCTGCTAAATACCGGAAAATGAACGAGGAGGACTAAAGATTCTTACATGTTTACATTTCAATAATTAGCAATATCGATCACTGGCTTGTGGCAATATGGCTGGCATCTCAATTATTGCAAGTTTGCTGTGACAAAACAACAGAAGTGACATATTTCTTGGGAGGGAGGGAGTGGGAGAGGGCAAGAGGCTTTGAAGCTGATGATATTGCAAAATATTTTGAATTATCTGCACATTCTGAAATTTAAATTCTCATACACTCTAAACAATGTTGTCTGTTTATTTTGGCATGATGACCAATCCAATTTGCCCACTGGCACGACTGAGTGAACTCCAGGGCATAATTTACTGAAAACAGCAGAAACTACAGTCTGTAACTGGCAATGGCTGGTAATGTCCATTATTTTTTGCTTGGTTGTAAGGTACATAGGAAAGTACTTCCTGCCCTCAGACTTTAAATAGTAAATTTGACTCTAATTACTAATTTTCTAAAAGTAGTTCCAATTTCCAACCCTTGATAAAAGTAGTTTATCCTAGCACAGAATGACAGAAACAGTATCAGATCACCCAACTTCTTCATCCTCATTGGCGTGCCTTCAGCTTGAAAAAGAATAGACAACTGCACCTGGCATTGGTTGCCAAAGGGAACACTAGATATACAACACAACAGACACAGATGTTACAAATCTGTCATGGCTATGAGCTTTTTTATTGATATTTGTAAAGGCTATTTGTCTTCAGTAGATCATCTTCCAAACCATATTTTGAGATTTCTATGTGGATGAAGGTTATTCCCCTATCAACCAAGCAAGTTGATACTTGATAGGCGAATAAAAAGGAATTACAGTATATGTTTGTGGATGAAATTAGGTCTGGGTCTGGATATTAGGATGACAGAACAAATGAATGGCCCAGAAGAATAGATAATACTAGAACCAAAATTTGCAATATGAAGTTTAGATTACAAGTCTGACATGTATAATCATATTTGAACTGGAAAGAGAAATTACAAAGAAGCTTGAATAAGTTGAGACAAGTTCTTAGTTCTTATCAAATGGAGCAGAAGTGCTTACTGCTTCGGAACTATCTGTAGAATTCTTCAACTCTGAAGAATGAAAGGGAAAAAAAAAAAAACAGAACAACAGAAAGTATATGTATACAACATTTTCCCCTATCAATGACATTCAAGGTTCATGACTGATACAATAAGTATGCGTTGAATAGCATACACAATAACCGATTTATCATGATTATTAACAAAGCGTAGGATAACTATAGATAAATATTATTCATGGCTTAAACAACAGAAACATCTGCATTCAACTCCACAGAGAGTGGAGGGTTATATACATGAACCTGTTTCTTTTTGAATCCTCACATATGATGAATTGGTTCTCTTCATCAATTCAACCATTAACTGACAATTTCAATGAATTTCTGGGATGCCGAAACCTTAGCAACGGCAGAGAGCTTGCTTTCTTCAACCCGAACCCGCCTTAATCTGGGGGAGTTCAAAACAAAGAGCTCTACTGCCTCAACCCCAATCCCATAACACTGTAGAATGTCCAGATTCTCCAAAAGTTTGCATATTTTGAGCATAGAAACCAGTGTGGCATTTGTGAGCCTTCTGCATCCTCTTAGCTTGATATCAACCAGATTTTTACAGGAGACGAGCATTGAAACAAATTCCTTATCGACCAACATCTCGTTATAAGACAAATCCAATTTCTTAAGCTCACTTAGGTTCTGGGCCAAAGTGGTTAGTAACCCAGGTTCTCTTTCAATTACGTCGCAGTTAATGAGGGCCAATTCTTCAAGTTCACTGCTCACCGCCGTTCCCAGTGTCTTGAGTCCTTCACCTGTCACAAGGCAACAACTTTGGAGTCGAAGGCTCACAAGACACCGGAAATTCTCTGCAACAGCAGAGAGGTGGTCGTTATCGAGGTCAAGAGGTAAACGCAGGTCAAGCCTCTGCAAGGTACAGCTGCATCGACTTATAAAATGGTGGAGACCATCCCTGCTACCCCCATCATATAAAAGGAGAGAGTTCAGAGACCCGCCGTGCTCAGCTAACCGTAATAAGACCCCATCCGCGATAGTCCTACAAGTTCTGAGCTCCAATTCTTGAAGACCCGGCAAACAACTTACAAAGGAAGAAAACGAGGCGCCGTCGCCGGTACCTTCACAGCTTCGCAACTGTAGCCTCCGAAGCTTCGTGCAGCTCTTCCACAGCCAGCCCATCCCGCGATCACCGGCACCAATTCCCGACAAGCAGAGAAATTCCAATGGCAATTCCATTTCAGACGATGGCTGAGAGGAAGGGACTCCGTCGTCATAATCGGAGTCAAATTTTAGAGTGGAGAAGTCATTGGAATTAGCGCCGCCGCAATCAACAACGGAGAGCTCTTTGAGAGAGGGAAAAGAGGTGAGCCAGCGGAAGCAGAAGGGCCTAAAAGAGGAGATGCTGAGAGAAGTGAGGTGTTTGCAGGAGGACGAGGGAGAAACGAGAGCAGAGGGCGAAACCGGTCCAGCTAGGAATCGAAGATGACGGAGATTACGACAATTGGAAGCCACAGAAAGAAGGTGGTGATCCCAAAACAAGGAGGCCCCACTAGGCGCTTCTGCTTCGGCATCCGGGGTCAGTGAGAAGAGCGGGGTGGAGTGATCGGGGGTGACGGTAAGGGAAGTGAGACGAGGGTAGCGAGAGAGTAAAGAAGAGAAGGAGGGGACAAAAGAAGGATGGGTAGGCAAGCGGACGGACAGGGAAGACTTGGAGATGCGGTGGAGGAATAGCCACCGTTTGCAGACGAGGGGGACGGCGGAGGAGGTGGATGGCGGGAGGCGCTGAAATATTTCTTGAACGAGTTCATCACAAAGCAAATTGTCCATCAATCTGTTGCTCTCTGTCCCCAACCGCCTCGTCCTTTTTACTGGATAACACAGTATAGATTATGAATATGAGGTAGGAGGATAACAGAACAGAACAGACTTGAATGGAGATGGAAGAAAAGGAATCAAATTTAATTGGATTATAAGATAGTTGAGAGAAAATCCAGGAGACTTTTTTCCTTCACACAGAAGGTCTCGATGGAAAGAAGAAAAGGAAAGCAAAGGTCTGGATTCTGGAAGAGGAAAATGAACCAAAGTAATGAAATACACTAGTGAAAAATGGGTCCCACGCGAACTTCCACATGTATCTTCACCTTTCAGCATTTATTGGAGTTACATAACCGTTTGCAGCATCTGTGTAAAAGATGTATGCATAACACATTAACACTGTCACTTGAGGGTCAAATCAGGTCGGTCAAATCTAATCCAACGTGAGTTGTTGGAACCCAAATTCCAATCTTAATTGTTTTTTATTTAGTAAATGAAAGGAAAATTTTCCTATATTTTGGGGCTAATGCCATTTTAGTCCCTGAATTTTAAAATAAGATAATCTAGTGACTGCTGTTAATAGGCCGTTAAGTGGGATATGAAAAAAATATAAATGTCTTTTTAGTATTATCTAAAATGCCCACTCAAACATGACTCTAATTTTTTTTGAATGGAAAAGGTAAAAATTTGGGATTGTTAGTTTTTTGTCAATATTTTAATGATTGATAAAAAAATTAAATAATACTTGAAGAACATTTATATATTTTTTAAATGTCACTTAATGACTAATTAACAGCTAGTGATCGATAAATACTGGATTGTTATGTTTTAAAATTTTGAATATTAAGTTATCACATTTTAAAGTTTGGGGACCAAAATAACACTAAGCCCAAAATACAAGATACTAATCAGAAATTTTCTTTAAATAAAATTTCGGTGAATTAATTTATTTTTTTTATTGAAATATTTTCATTTCTTAGACTTAAATGACTGGATTGACCAAGTATGTACTGATTGACCAACTAATCAACCAGTACATATACTTAACCAGATACCCATGCTTATATCACATTAGAATTAGAAAATGGTTAACTAATTAAAAGTATAGGTTATATCTACATTTATATCTATGCTATGTAAAACAGATGCTTTATCTTGAGCTCTGTGTAGATTAACAAAAGCTAAATCTAAATATTATATACCAAATTTAAATACACATACATATGAAATTCTATGCACAAATATATATTTATATGAAATTTCCCCAATCCCTACTTTGAGAGGTGTTGGATTCGTTCTGGTTTCTAATAGAGCGGTTAGAGCTGGCCCTTTGTGCAGAGTTCACATCCTATGAACCCGTGGGTTCACAAAAGCGTGAACCCTCCAATCAAAAACGCCCATGTCAGTATGTTTAAAATTCACTAATTTAACGGATATTTGACTGTAAGCTGAAAGAGTCCGATTGACCGGGCACAAAAGGACAAAAAGAACTAAGAACAAAGAAATAGCTGGGCTTGGTTAGATTCTGAATCCAAATAAATGGGTAATGAAGAACCACCTACAGAACGCACCAAGTTGATTTCATGCTGCCATCGGTGGCTTTCGCGTTCAGGAGATCGCTGGTCGCCGGTGGATGCTTCTGGGCTAGGGCTTGCCTGTCGTTTACTGAACAGCAAAACCACAATGCGGTACTTCTAAGAGCAATGAAACATGGCCTCTAGTGTCAAATGCCTTGAGGAAATACTCATCAAGCTCTTTAATAATATCAACGAGATCTTTACTGTTCTTCGAGACCACCATGGCAAGCTCGCTTTTGGTATCTTTTGAATACACATTGACAACAAAAGGTGGAGAAGTTACGCTGGCCCCAACTGTAGGAACAGGGACCTCGTATAAAGTTGTGGTGGCTTCCCATTCCTCTTCAATGGCGGATCTTGACGAAGAGGGAGCAAATGAGTCCCAAAAATCCCAACTTGAAGGTGGTGGTGGAGGAGGTAGAGCGGGAGAGCAGTGATGGAAGTCTAGTTATCAGAACTCGGGCTCATAGGCAGTGGTGGTGGCGGCAGAGTCGGCGGTGGCAGTGGTGGTGAGAGGAGAATAAAAGGCAGGTGGTGTTGGGGATCGTGGTGACAGTGGAGATTGGCGTTTCGGCGTGTCAGAGATACCTCAACACTCACGCATTAACAAATACGTCTTTTGAGTTCCCTCTGAATACTTTGTGCTTACTCGGCATTAGCAAACTGAAGCATTGCAGAACCAGAGCCTCCGAGGGATCGAAGATATATAGTATGTGCTGCAGAGAAGGCTTGTTTGGCATTCACAAACTGTTCCATTATCCTCTTCAAGCCCTGTAACACGAAACCATTTGTTCTTTCTCCACTCTTGATTAACAACAACCCATCTTCTTCTTCTTCTTTACACCCCCGTTTTAAACCAAAAAAAATTGCTATATGGTTAACTTTTTAGTCAAATTTGCAATTGAGTTTTCCATTCTCGTCGTTATTTCTCTCTCAAGGTTAGACAGAAATTAATGCTTGTTTCTTCTAAAACTTTTACGGGAGGTTGAAAATACGATGGGCTTTATGCGAGACTGGTTCTTCAGCAAAAGAAGTTGAGCAACTCCTTGGAAGGGCTGGCAAAAGGATCCCCGGTAAAGTCAGGTTCGTCGGTGGAGTTTTGTTGTCGGAATTTTTGGTGACAGCAGAAGACGTAAAGGATCTGAGCTATCACAGCAACGAAGGCGAGGGCGAATACGACGATGAGTCCGATTGCAAGGTGGCTTAGACCGTTCATCTCCAGCAGCAGTAGTCTGGTTCAATCTCGGGCATCAGCTGATTCAGAAACTGGTCGAGGTCTGATTTAAAGTGGAACTGGCAGACCATAGCATTACCGACTGTAGCCGGTAATCAGCTCCGGACCAACCAACGGACACAATAAAGGGATTTTCAGTTTTTCTTGGAAACGTTGGCCACGTCCACACCATCCGGCATGGACCCACGATAGACGATTCCGATGCCACCTTTTCGGATGATGTTCTCTTTTTTCAAGCATTCGAACGTTTCTACCTTGAAATCGAGCTTCTGAAACGGGGTCAGTTTCCAAACTTTTGATTCACGGCATTTTTTTTGGTAGCTTTTGAGCTTTAAAGCTGCAGCGACAAGGCCTAACAAAACAAATACGCGGCATTCGCCTCCCGTGTTTGACCAGCCCGCATTGGCTTCATTCCCTGCAAACCAAGCACCTAGGCCGTCGTCTTCAGATGCCAGACCGGTGTCGCCTGCGTTTCTACCACTGCCTCCTCTATTACTATCACCCAGCTGCTGCTGATTATCGCCGGTACCGATCATTCTGCTCACCTGTCAAGAGTTTATATAAAGCCGAAATGATTCAAAGGTAGAAACCCAAAGAAGCGTTGAGATTCCTATCGATCTAGAAAAAGGAACGAAACGAACCTGCTCTTTGGTTTTGTCCACCCTGGCAATGGCCGTGTCGGCAATGTTTGAGACGGTATCCCTCATGACCTGCATTTTCGTTTGCTTTAACAGACGATCAAAGATTAATTAGAAAATCGGTATCTGATTTCAGAAAGAAAGAGCTCGTCATGTATGTCGGACCAAGCACGACGTGTCCCCGCTTTATATTATAAAGGGTTTCTAGGAGAGGGATGGACTGTCGGGACCCATTGATCCATTGAAATGGTTGGCATTAATACAAGACGATGAACAGTGCCTTTGCCCCTTCTGATATTTTTTCAGAAAAGTTATTTTATAAAAATATTACTTTTTATTGATATTCGGGGTAAATTTTGAACATGCCGGCATGGGCGTTTCTTATTGGCGGGTTCACACTTCCCGTGAACCCACCGGTTCACGTGAACCCCTTTGTGCAGATGCTGCTTTCGGGAATCGTCCTATGTGAGGAGCAGATCCGGTCTCTCTCTATAGCGGCGTCAGGCGTGTGAGCATTTTATTTAATAAAGAATTTATTTTTTAGGCATTTTGCACGAGAGACCTCAACCGTCTGATCTGCATAAGAGCTCCCGTGGACGGTGGACCCGCAATGCAAGTCATAATCTTCAAATCGAATAAAGTATTTCCTCACCAAATTCACATCGGCGCGCCACAGTACACTCATGCACGCTGAGATGTACATGTGGGGCGTCGATGTGAATGAATGTCGGACAAGCAGCTTGTCCACGTGTCTGGTTAAAGCAGAAGGCCATACACTATTGCCACGTAGGAAGCGAATAAAACTTGATATATATATATATAGAGAGAGAGAGAGAGTAGGTGAAGGTTAGATGATCACAATTGATATGACATCCACCTTTCAATTCATCTTCCCATCTTTGGCATGTCGTCGTCACCTGTCATCATCAATCACTACACCTTTTTCTACATTATTTATATTTATTGAAACCGAAAGAAAGATATTCCCTCAACGACCGTTTATTTTAAGTGGAGATGGCGGAGGAGTAGAGTACGTCAACAATTTGTTAACAGGGACGGCGACCCAATTTGGACCTTAAATCCTGCTGCTATACGCAAAAGGAAACTGAGGAGTTTGACGGAGGAGCGGGGCATAATCTCCTACAAGCAAAAGAATCTGGGATCCTTCCATCTTTCTCCTCATCCCACAATTCTCACTTTAGTCGTGGAGGAGGAATGCCACTACAAAGTACGAATTTCATTTTTCTATTTGGAAAGATAAAAGGGGATAATATGTGCCATCTCCACGTCTTACCTCAACGCTCACTTGTATCTCCACCTCTCATTTCTCATACGCGTACTTGTTTATATTTTAAATTCAATTATTAAAAATATAATAAATCTCAATAAAAGCCCTTTAAGGTCATTTTCTCTAATGCAATCCTTCTTAAACCCCCTTCCACATTACATCCCTCATTTCTTTATATCTCTCTAAACCCCTTTTGATTCTCCCTAATAAGGCAGGGTACCCTAAATATAGATCTTAGATTGGATTCAAATTAATGTCAAAATACAAATCTAATCAAATTTCTATTCTTTTCTTTTTATGAAATAAATTCCTATTCAAACTCATTATCCATTGCATGAATTGTCTTGCTATGTATCTTACAAGAAAAAAATAAAACAATATTTGTCTTGCTAGCATAGTTATTGGCATACCTTTATTAACCAAGAAAGTAACATCTATTTAAAATCTTATTAACAATCGTATTTAAACTCCCATGTTTAAAGCCTATTGACACCCAACTCCTGTTTTAGAACCTAAGTAAACTCTTGAAAAAGGATTCAAGTCTAAATTGCTTGCAAGATAGGGAAAAGCCCTTATCACTAGACAATCCTATACTACAAGAACACATTTAGATTATTATTGTTTTAAAATCCAAGGATATTAAGATAATACAATATATAAGAAAAAATATTGGGGTTTTTATAATTCAGTCCACCTCAGAAATCTGAGCCCCACTGTACAGGTGGGATGAATCCTAGCCATGGGTCAACAATAAATCCACGGCCAGAATGCGGTTTATAGGGGGGCTCCTAATAGACTAGAAGGGGACTGTAATTTCAGATTTCTGAGGTGGACGGCAGTCTACTTATCCCAAAAATATATACTTTTATTATGTGGTTTATATTTAATATTTACCCATGTTTAGAAAACCATACCAGACTAGTTGAACCATGACCTAGGGCCCTGGTTAGTTGGTCATACCCCAATAACCATTTTACTATTAGCCTAATGAAAACTGGCTGACTGGTCAATTTAACCAAAAAACCGATGAACCGGTGCCAATTTCATGAAACCGCTCAGGCCATTAAATACTTGAAATTTTAAAATGTGCTTTACTTCATCACACACTTATTTTAAAGAAAATATAAATTAAGAGACTTGAACCTTGATCATTTGCTTTAAAAATTATAGAATTTGTCATCCATCCATCATACTTAAGTATATTAAAAATTATAAAACATATTATATATAATATTTATATAACCTATATTATATATACATATATGTCACACCATCACAGTTTGGCCTCTGATTCGGCCCTGGTTGAACCTCTCCCTTCTCCAGTTCTATAGTAGGCCTGGCTCTCCGTACATTGGTATTTACAGTAATTTGAGTCTTAGATTTAATATTGTTGATGTATTTACAGGTTCCCCAACACAATGTGCATATTTCATGCCTATTCAAAGTGAATCCCAGTACATATGCATTAAAATTGCATTTCCAATACTATTAGGTAGCTTTGAGCCGTGAAATCCCACATATATCAAGGCAATGCACTTACGCAAGTGTAATCTGTACTTCACATCTTTGATATATTACCAAGGAATTCACATTTGCACCCCACAAACGCCCCATACATATGGGGCACCATCTGTAGGGCACATATGTGATCTCATTACCAAGATGGTTTTTGGTATCGTGGTCATTTTTATCACCACTTGTTTGTACTTGACTGATGCATTGAAAATCAGGAGGGTTGGATTCTGCACATAACCCAAGGATAATTTGTTTATTTTGTTTATTCCAGTTAGGCATTAGACCTATTCATGGGCCAGGCCGGGCCGGGCTTGGGCCAGGCTTTTACTCATCATTAATGGAAATACGCTAGGCCCGAGCCCGAGCCCGGCCCTGATAAAAAGCCCGAAGCCCAACCTAATAAAAAAAATTACAATTTTCCCTATTCAAATTAGAATTAAAAATCCATATGGTTTTTTTTTTCTATTTAAATGAACAATGGGCCTACAAGATGGTTTTTTTCCCTTTCTTTTACGTTTTAAAACACAGTTTTACATTCTTAAATCAAAAAATTTATTCAAATGGACATAATCACATAACCCATTTTAAGTCTAATTTAAGATCGGGCCGGGCCGGGCTCAGGACGGGCTATTTTGACAAAACCCGAGCCCGGCTCGAATTTATTACGGGCCGGGCTTTTTGGCCCGAATTTAAGCCCACGGGCCTATAAACATGTTCAAGCCCGTCCGAGAGCCGGGCCGAGCCGGCCCGTCGGGCCACCCGGCCCATGAACAGGTCTAGTAGGCACCATTAGGTGCCACATGAATAAAACAACAACACAAATACAACCATTTTGCTTAGAACAATCCAACCAAAAAAAATAATATTAGGTAAGGATAGAAAGCATATATAGTGCTGATGTAGTGCACTAGTACAAATGGGTTGTGAGAAAGCAACCAGAGTACCAAACACCACCCAAGAGGCCAAAGACAGGATGTAACTTGGCCAGTCCCGTCTAAACCCAACCTCCTAGCCTTGGATATGAACGGGCTTAAGTTGAGGCCTCTGAAAGTCTGAGCGTGAGCCTGACCAGCCCGGCCCACCCAACATATAGATGTATTATTATGCATATTTTTTTTTATTAGTCATACCACTATGTATACGTATACTGTATTTCATAATCCACATACAAGCACGTGCGATGCACCTATGCGATATACATGCACTTAAAATACATACATACATGTATAACACAAACATCTGTACCAAGTACAGTATATGTAAGACATCAAAACTGCAAGGTAAAAAACCATTAAGCCCGACTAACCTTCCCAGGCTTTGACCAAGCCCAACCCGAGTAACGTTAGGATTTTTGTTTGGATTGGGCTTGGGCTTGCTTTAGTTCGGGATGGGTCTGCTACGTGGAGTCAAATTTTAGAGATAGGCTTGGGTAGGCCTGAAATGCAGCCCACCCCAGTAGGGCTCAAAACAGCCTACCCTTACCTCTCAAGAGATGAGGGACTCGTTTGATCGTGTCCTCTGCATCATGATGACTGTTACAGCCATTTTTTTTCATGGGTGAAGTAACGCATGCACACAGAAGGACCGACACTTTGGGACCAAGTCTTAATACCGCATTCTTTGTGGAGCCCATCTCTGAGTTAGAATTTGCGATCATCACCTCTAATTAACTAAATTATCCATTTGTGCAAGTATTGTTCCAAGTATAATTTTATGACAAGGAAAACTCAACAAGGATGCAGTAAAACGTACATAAATAATAACCAGCAAGGGAGATGGATCAAACCTAAGTAAAGATAAGTGGCGCTGTTCCAAGCCCAGAGTGACTCTACCCAGTTCCAGAAGTCACCTGCACTGACACTGCCTAGGCCTTCTGAATATGCCTTCAAAAACAGAAATGCAGCCGGAGGAAATCCTATAAACCCCAACGATATATTACAGGCTGTTACTGCAAGTGTTCTCAATCTCCCAGCTCTGTACACATGCTTTAAAGGGTGAACCATCAAACACATTGGAACAATCAGCAGAGCTCCAATCTGAGCTGTTGCAAAGTTAATGATTGACATAAGCCCCAGACCAATACCGGCAGCTGCAATCATCATAGACTTCAAAACAGCCCATTCTCTATTTGGAGATTGATTCACAGTAACGCATGAATATGGGGAACCCAGAATTTGGTGCAAGAATAGAAGGCTTGCAATGGATAGTAAGCCCCAGGATAGCATGCTGGTTGTTGGGGTCATCTCAGGAAATTGATACATCAGATAGGGGAGTAGAGAAACAATGGCACCCCATAGATGAATTACAAGCACAACTTTTGCAGCATGAAGCCATCTCCATGACTGAAAAGCAATTCCAGCCTCATTGGTAGAGGCAGGACCAGATTTTTGTTGTTCTTTTATACAGTGAGAATCCAACACATTGGCATCGCAATAGAGAGATGCTGCAATGATTGGAAGGGGAACAACAAGCAACCCAAAAGCAATCATATAGACTCCAACTGATACGAATTTACTGGGAGAGGTCAAGAAATAGAGGAAAAAGGATTGGTGAAACTTTTCAAGCAGGTTGTTCACTGATCGAATGGTTCCTTCAATCAACCTGCACCAAAAACCAAATAAATTAATGAATGAATGAATATTGAAAAAAAATAAAAGAATAAAAGAAACTTCCCAAACCAATTCCATCAAAATTTAAGTGTTTCTTTTATGTAACAAAAACTAAGCACTCAAAAGTAAGTGTAACATACTAACATGACACCACCTCATGATGGCTTTCTATCTACATAGAGCTCCGTTGGAAAATCTAATGCATAACGAAAATAATGCAGGGAAATGAGTTCAAAACAACATTTGCACAGGATTCTGGAGCCAAAGTATATGCTAACAACAATAATGATACATACAGGAAAGAAAATAGAAGGCCCAATACCCACATGGGGGACTCTGGGTCTGGGTACTAATGTAAATCTGTTAGTGTTACCAGGAAATTAATGATAACTGTCAGTTTTGAGCTGTTTGTATCCTTTATTTTCATAATTAATAAAATCCATGGTTATTGATATAGAAAATAAGGCCCGATAACCACACAGTTCAAAATATGTCAATCAATTATCTTATTTAGATATCAGACAATTATAACAAAATCTTCAAGCCTAAGATTAGAAACAAAGAATTCCTATAGAAGACTGTATTTACCAATCCACATATAAATTATCATCTAGAAATTTGTATTGGAAAATAATCTTGCAGTAGTAGAAAAACAAAAATAACACGAGGACGGTGATCAATCTTCACCGTCCAACACTAGTAAACCATATAAGAGAGAAGTGGGATATAAGGATAAAGATGTTCTTTCTGATTGTACAATCTTTCTTTACCAGTTTAAAATCATAACATAAATGGATTGTTTAGAATACCCCTCCCAAAAGGGAAAAAAAAACAAAATATTATTCCTTTTTATTTTACTTTTTATCATATGAAGTTTGGAATTTTAAGCTCTAAGAAGCACATTAGTCTTGGGAGGATACACATTTTGGCATTTTATTCAGAAGATTGGAGTCAAGGATATGCCCCAAACTGTGAGGCTTCAAACCACCTCCTGGTTTCAACCACCCTTGCTAAAGTAGACCACTTGGCACTTTATTGGTCATATTGAATATTCAAACTATCAAAGAAAGAAATTTAGTGACAAAAACAAACTTCCTTAAGCAATGAGTGGGACTACATGTAAGGTATCTTGCTTTTATTCATCATGTTGGGGATACGGATGGAATGAAAGCTCAGCCAGATAATTTTTCTATCAGTAACAATAAACTTTATTAAGGTTTGAAAAAGAATGGATTATAGTACAAAGTGTGTCAAGCACCTCTCTTAGAGATCTAGACTAGTCCCAGCTACCTAATCCCACACAACCACTGCCATATGAATGGCGAGGCATTTTGTGCTCAGAAACCATCATAAGAATAGGTTAAAAAAAAAGAAAGAAGAGTGGCTACATGTTATTCATTATCATAAAGAATTTCCTAAATGATGCCCCATGACTGAGCAAAATGCTCTTGAAACTCTGGGAGCTTATCTTATAGCTGTTCATCAAAGAAGGATCAAAATTACCAGATTAAGAACTCTATCCAATGGCCAAGTTCAAGTAATTTTTTATGGTACCTTGAGAATAAATCCAGGAGATGGGAGGCCTTGGTATCTGGGATACTAATCAAGGATAGTTGGTGGGGGATTTTGAATGCCAAAAGGAATAGTTGGTGGGGGCTTTTGAATGCAAATAAATATGGTCTCTAACGGAATCTGAGATATTAATCAAGCTTCCCGTACAACACCTTAGTGCTGTCTGGAAAGGCATTCAGAAAACTCATTCTCATTTTCTAGAAGGAATCACCAACAAGTTGGGCAATGGATCTCAACAGAGATTTTGGTTGGACTCTTGGTGTGGAGACAGACCATTGGCCAAATCCTACCCCAGCCTCTTCAACTACAGCCACCAACAAAGAGGCAACTGTTAGAAACCTGTTTGAATGGGAAATTGAAAGTCTAGAAAAATTGCTTCTCCATCTTCAACAATTTCAGCCTATTAGGTCAGCAAAGGACAGTAGAATTTGGAAATGGGACAAGAAGGGAGTTTTTCTGTAAAATCTATGGTACAGCATCTTAACTTGGACAGGCCTACCTTCTCTCACAAAGTTGTTTGGGCACAGAATGCACCTTCCAAAGTTGCATTCCTAGTCTGGACTGCCACACATGGCAAATACCTCATCAAGAACAAGCTGAGGAAGAGAGGGATCCCTATCACTTCCCTCACTGTCCTCTATGCAATACCTCTCAGGAAGATGCAAGCTTGTTTGGAACAGTGTTGGCCAATCTGCATTTATGCTGGATCTTCCCCAGTTTTGTCCTAAACTTTCTAAACAGTTGGAATATTGAAGGACTTTCTAGTAACGGCAGAATCAAATGGAATATGATACCTGAAGCAGTGTTATGGTCTATTTGGATGGAGAGGAACAGCAGAAATTTTGAAGGCACATCCTCTCATATTGATGAAATTATACACAACATGTTAGCAAAATTACATACTTGGGCAAAGGCACACAACATCTCAACCGATGTCCACTTGTTGTAATCACACATCATATAGTTAACTTGGTCCTTCACCCCATGTACAGCACCAATACTAGTTTGGTGCAAAGTCCAATACCTGTTGTAATCACACATCATATAGTCCAACAAATGCAGATAAGGATTTCCTTCATGGATTTCTAAACTTGTATGGACTTTGCACCAATACTAGTTTGGTCCATATATGATGGTGTGCATTGCTGTAAAGACATTGGACTTACTAACATCCCGGAGTCCAGATCAGCTGCCAACAAAATACATTCCAACACCCTCCCAACGTGATCTGACACAGCACATCTTATTAATGGTGGGTCCCACTTTTATGATGGGTCCCAGTCTCATGGTTAGATGTGTGGTGCAAGATCATGTTGGGAGGGTGTTGGAATGTGTTTTGTTGGCAGGTGATCCCAATTCACATCCCAGTGGCTAATACTCTGGTTCCTGCAGTATTTATGGATCATTATGCATACTATTTATTCTTAATAGAATCAAAAGGGCTACTGCAAGAACCTAAATTAATTCAGGTTTTTAAAATGTTCTTTTTTTTCTCTGAGATGAATTTTGAAAGGCAATGCTTCTAATTTTATTTTTTATGAATAACAATAAAAACCAATATGTCACTGCATTATATATGAAAAGTCCCCTACCATGAAATAGGTTAGGTAGTCAGAGTACGAAGAATGTTTTATTCAAAATCAATATGTTATTGAAATTTTTCAGAATTTTCACAGAAGTGGTAAAAAATCTAATTTTCTTATGCAGAAGTTAACAATATTCCACTTCTCTCTTGAACACCAGTTTTAATCAGAAACAGAAACTTGGATTGTAATGATCAAATAAGGGTCTAAACAGTACATAGACTGACTTGTGCTTCTCAATGCTTAAGGTAGAGAGAGAACAGGAAACAAATTTGGTGAGATGCTATCTATTAATTGGAATAACATTTCAGTTCTGGTTGTATACCCCCAATGGAAATCTTGTCTGGTCAGGCTAGACCATATGCTAATGTGTTGGCTAACTTTGGTATTCAGATGAATGAAATATTCAGTCTGGCAGAAAATATCTGGTCTCTCTTGCGGAGAAAACCAGTTCCAACTTAATATCAGTTTCGATGCAGATGAACTAGTTGCATATGACCAACTCAACTCTCTTTGATGAATGAATGGTATTTTATTAAATAGAGATAGAAATAGTACAAGCATGAAGCACCCTAAGAGGAGGCACGAGGTGTTACCTCCCCTGAAAGGTGGTTCCAATTGCAGTTACAAATTAGCCAAAAACAGAGAATCCCTTGAAGCCCCTTGTTTAGCTAAAGAATCTGCCAAAGCATTTGCCGATCTACTAACCCATTGAAAGCTAACTGACATGGTGCTCGTAAGCCATTTAACCTTTTTGATGATGTCCCTATATCCCCAAACAACAGTTTCTGGGTCCAACATCCATCCCACTATCACCTTAGAATCTCCTTCAACTATCAAATAGTCACTCCAAGTTGGTTGGAAATCTGTAGTCCTTGTACCACAGCTAATATCTCAGCCCTTGTAGAGTCGCCATAACCCACTGGACCTGAGAATAAGGACATAATGTTGCCATCCTTATTCCTCAAGATCCATCCTATATCTGAAGGTCCGGGATTGCCTTGACTGCCCCCATCACAGCTCAACTTCACAACTCCTTCCGGAGGGGGTAACCAACTTGCTTGTGTTCTATTTTTCTTGGATGATGTGGAGGCCACTACTGCCCAACTCCTTCGAAGGTCATCACTAGAGTAATCCGCAAAGAGATCAGTAGTTTTTAGCCAAAGGATTGCCCTTGTCAGTATACAATCCTTTATTTCAACAATGCTTCTCTCCTCCTGGAAAATTCTGGCATTTCTTTCCTCCCAAATGGTCCATAAGAGGGCTGTCCTAATACATTTGCACATTACTTTCCCTCTCTTTGTTGGCCAACCAAAAACAGACGGATCAAAAAGCAGATTTACTTCAGGAGGCAGGTTCCACCTGTACCCAAACAGCATAAAAACCTGATTCCAAATATTTATTGTAAAAGAGCAAGAAATCAGTAGGTGATAACAGTCCTCATTCTGCACTTTACATAAAATGCACCAATTGGGGGACAAGCATGAATAAGGTCTCTTTTTTTGTACATTGCCCACAGCATTAATTTTACCATAATACACTTCCCAACAAAAACCAGCAATTTTAGGTGGAATTGGCCTTGACCAGACTTCTTTAACTGGGAACAACAAAGGGGAAGGAGTAGAGCAAAGGGACTTAAAGAAGGAAGAACAAGAGAAGGAGCCACTCAAGGTCAAAGACCAAATTCTTCTATTTGGTTTAGGAGGGTCCAAACAAACAGAATCAAGTAAAAGTAAGAGCTCAGAGGCAGAAACTGATTCATCATCCCTCAACCCTCTACGGACCCAAAATCCCAATTAAGAGACAATGGAAGAATGGGGGAAGAAAGAAACCTTGAAACAGGCTCCTTTTTATAGAGGGAAATAGAAAAAAGGGAGGGATAGAGGTATTTTAATGGTTGGTTGCCCACCCAAACATCTTCCCAAAAAAACACAGAATTACCATTGCAGACATCATACCTTACGAACTTGAGAAATTTTGGGAGGATGCCAAAAATCGCCTTCCAAGGCGTAGTGAGTGTGGCCCGTTGAGATACCTCAGCATCCCAACCAGATTCAGAACAGCCATAGATACTAGCCACCACCTCATGCCACAATCTCTCTCTTTCCAGAGGCCAACTCCATAACCACTTGCCCAAAAGAGCTTCGTTCTTATTTACTAGGTTCCTTAACCCTAAACCCCCTTGTTCCTTGCTTCGACTCACCACCTCCCATCTAATCAAATGATCATTTTTCTCTGCACCTGGTTCCCACAAAAAATCCCTCATCAACTTTTCTATCTTCTTGGCTTCCCTAACAGGTATCCTGAAAACAGACAAAAAGTAGATGGCTAAGTTTGCGAGTGTGGCCCTAATCAAAGTTATTCTACCCCCTAGAGAGATATAGTTCTTTTTCCAGGTCACTAGCCTTTTTTCAAACTTCTCTACCACCGGGATCCAAAACCTACTTTCCTTTGGATTTGCACCTAAGGGAAGTACTAGATAGGTCAAGGGCCAAGCAGAAATAGGACATTCTAAGCAAGCAGCAATAGACTCCAACTCCCTTCCCTCCACATTTAGCCCCACCATACAGTCCTTCTCAAAATTTATTTTCAGGTTTGAGACATTCTCAAAGAGGGTTATTAGATTGCTCAAATTCCTTGCCCTCAACAAATCACATCCCTCACAAAAGATTATGATATCATCTGCAAACTGAAGGTGAGTAACCAAAACTTGATTTCTTCCTAATCTCCATCCTCTTATCAATCCAACCCTGTCTGCTTTTGACAAAAGTCTACTAAAATCATCAACAACCAATGTGAAAAGGAAAGGGGACAATGGATCACCTTGTCTCAAGCCCCTACATGCAGGGAAAAAATCCTTTACTACTCCATTTACTAAAATTGAGTAATGGCAAGACGTCAGACAACCACCTATCCACTTGCACCATCTATCTCCAAAACCACACTTTCTGAGCACCTCTAGCAGAAAACTCCAATCCACTAAATCATAGGCCTTTTCAAGATCCAATTTGCAAACAAAACCTTGCCTACCCAATCATCTCATCTCTTCCACACTTTCATTTGCTATTAAAATTTGGTCAACTATTTGTCTACCATGAACGAAAGCACCTTGAGCTTGACTTATGATGGGGGAAAGAACCTTTTTGATCCTCAAAGATAAGACCTTTGCCAGTATCTTATAGATGCTTGTTATCAAGCTGATTGGCTTAAAATCTTTGGGATGTTTGGCCTCTTTCTTCTTAGGGACCAGGGCTAGGAAAGTGGAATTTACTCCACGGCTAATGACAAGTTGTTCCTCAAATTCTTTGAAAACTTCTAACAAGTCTCCTTTAATTATGTTCCAACAGTCTTGAAAGAAGGCCATAGTAAAGCCATCTGGCCCTGGTGGCTTAGATCTATCCACTGAAAAAACTGCTTGTCGTATTTCCTCCTCCTCAAAACTCCTTTCCAACCACAATTTCATCTCTTCAGACAGTGTAGGCCAATCCAACCCAGCCAACTCCACTCGACTAGCTAGAGGCTTCCTTAATATAGATTTGAAGTGCGTTACAAAACAATTGGCTATTTCCTCTTGGGAGTCCAACTCCACACCATCCACTTCAAGTTTAGTCACCAAGTTTTTCCTTCTTCTTCCATTGGCCATCTCATGAAAAAATTTGGTAATCTTGTCCCCTTCCTTTATCCAGTTATTCCTGATTTCTGCCTCCAAGATATCTCTTCTCGCAAAAGAACCTCCTCTAATTCCTTTTTCAACCTCTACCTTAATTCTCTTTCTTGAGTATTCATGGTTCGTTAAGATTCCTTCTCATCCAGGTCCTCTATTTGGGTCATCAGATTGGATTTTTGTTCCTCTATTCTCCCAAAAAGGTCCCTATTCCGTTCTCTTAAGTTCCCCCTCAAGCTTTTCAACTTTTTATGAAACCTTACCCCTTTCCACTTCACCCCCCTCATATCTTGATTCCACCATTCCTCAATCTTTTTAACAAAATCTGGGTGTGTCAGCCACATATTTTCGAATCTAAAGGGTTTGGGTCCACTCCAGAAAGGTTCTTGTCCTAGCTCAATAGGACAATGGTCAAAGGTAACTCTAGGTAGAGCTTTGGATAGCAAATCTCTCCAATGATTTTCCCAACTTTCGTTAAAAAGGAACCTATCAAGCTTCGAGCAAGTTGGGCTTTCTTGGAAGTTGGACCAGGTAAAAAGGCCATGCACAAGAGTAAACTCCTTAAGCTCACTACAATTAATAAAATCATTAAATTTTCTCATACTAGTTGTAATGAGTTGTTGGGGGTTATTTGTCTCATTAACATAGGAGATAGAGTTTTAATGAAAAAAGAAGAACAAGAGGACTCCTATTGGATCCAACAACCAATAGGATTTGAGAAGGGGGGAAAAACAGATAATGACACAAGGAGAAAAAGGATTCTAAAGATTCAAAGTCCAAGAAGCCCCTCCAGCCATAATAATACCATGAGACACCACTATTGGGTGAAAATTGGAAAAAAAATCAGCAATAGACCAAGTCTTGAAAAAAGATTCGGAATACCTTCCCAAAATCTCCACTAGCCATTTGAATGGCAAAGCATGAGGAGTAAAAAAAAAAGCTTTGAATACCATAATTTATTATTACTCCTAAGGTTCTGGCTTGCAAATAGACTTTATTAGGGCCATTTTTTATGCTTTTGTCCTCCATGGGTTGTTATCACTTCTCATTAGATGGATAGCTCAAGTCAGAGTGTGCCCTACCCTTACAATTGATTCCTCACACCTATTGAATAATGCTAGCACAGTCCTTCAAATGCATTATTTATACCAAATTGTAAGTTTATGGAATTTGTCCACACTAATAAAATATGTTTATGATCTCTTAGTTTCATGTAATTGTTTTTTTTAATTTTATTTCATGTAATTGTTTTTTTAATTTTATTTCATGTAATTGTTTCTAAATATAATTATTTACCCTATGGGTGGATTCGAGCTGAGCCAAGCCAAATATCTAGCTATTCGAGCCCGGCTCGCCAAAAAACTATGAGGCTCAAACTCAATTCAAGCTAGAGACATGAGCTCGAATTTGACTCGACTCAAAAGCTCATAAATTCGAGCTCGACTGCAAGCCAAGCTTCCATAAAATTAAAAAACTATATACAAAAAATTAAGAATTATAAAAACTAGTTATTATTATACATATAACAATAAAAATATTATATATAATATGTTTATTATATATATTATTTTTTATATGTATAATATTTTTATATTTCTTATTTTTATACGTAATATATATATATATAAAAGCTTGTTTAGGCTCACAAGCCTTACAAGCCAAGCTTTATTGGGCTCGGCCTTGGCTCAATTAGCAAACAAGCCTATATACTGGGCTTGAGCTTGGCTCAAAGCTCGATTTAGACCGAGCCGACTCACGAGCCGAGCTAGAATAGCTCTTGAAAAGCACGAATTGTTTCCACCCCTAATTTACCCCATCAAAATTGGACGAAATCTTATTTATACCTATGCCTTAAGCACCATTAACTTTCATGCCCCAGTAACACAAATATCACTGCCCGGCGGGCGGCCTATTCGAGGGCCTTCCTTGTACCTACTAACCCTACCCATATGCTCGCCAGACATCACCCCCTGCTTTGACTTTGCATCAGACCCATTGCTTTGACGACCGGACCCACATATCATCATATTTCACCATCGACCATACACTCCATGTCATGTGGAAAAGGAAAGACCACATCCCATTCTTGGACAACAAAGCTCACTTACCTCGACTAGTGGCAGATAGGGGAAAAATTGAACATCATTAACTTTTTCTCTTTCACAATTAGGCACGATTTAATTAACTGGAAAAAGAGAAAAGATTGAAATGATGTCCATGTTTCCAAATATATGTGCTTTATATGTTATAAACTTTTTTCATCCTAATGATGATTAAAAAAGGGATTGGTTTTAGTATCAACATTTGGACTATATATAGAGGAAATATAAGAGGTAAATGAACACCAACCTGCCACCTCGGAGAAGAAATTCCAATATCCTGACTTCATTATTCAGAGAAACTTTAGGTGAAATCTCCAATGTGATTGCATCAACTTGGTAGTCACGAAAAGCACCATGTGAACCAGTTGGCACACCTAGAGCCTATAAACAAGTAAACAACAGCAACATCACATAAATCTGGCCATGAGGTACAAGATATACCTTCTTTTTTTCTCAATCATATCAGAAGAAAATCCACAGAACACCAAGTAACTGCTTAACGAAGCATATTTAAATTCCATTTAACTAGAAGAGGACAACCATTTAAACAATCCCACATAAGGATATCCCATGCCAAAGATCAAACCCAACCAAATGAAGGCAGCTTCGAAAGAACTTATTTTTTAATGTCAAAAGAATGTCAAAGAACACTGTTCATAATCTGATAAGGCCAATTTCAGGATCATAGGTATGCCTTAGTGATTGATTGAATAAATAGTAAGCAAAACCCCCAAAATGTAAATCATGTTTGGCAGTAGACTATAGATGGTTCACCGTTGTGTTCTAACAAACATGTATTCTGGAGTTCTTTAATCCATACACCATAACAAGAAAAGCAACCATTTATGGTAATTACCTGATGATACATTGAACTTGCAAGAGTAGCAGCACCATCAATATAATCCGCAACAGGGATACCAAATTCCCATCGAGCATTCAAGCTTCTGGCCACTTTTCCTATTGTTTCAAGAACATCACCAACAATCTTGAGGAACACAGAGTCAAGTAAAAAATATAACTTCTCCACCTTTACACGCAAGCCTTGTCTATGCACAGCCAAATAATTCACAATATTGATAAGATCCAGGTTTGGCATCTGTCCATTGGATGCTTCAGCATATATACTGAGAGTATCCTTATCAGTCTCTTTGTGTTTATCCACAACCTTAAAGACAAGTCCAGCAGCCATAGTTCCAGCACGGCTGATGACATCAGTTCTGATTTGATTCTCATTCTGTTCATGAGGATAACCACTTTCAAAACATATGTCAGCATCTAATTTTTCCAAAGCACTGAATTGAGGAATATGGTAGTCTCTTAGCCAAGCAGTAACTGAGGCATACTCTCCATATCGTGCATCTGCAGCCAGCCAGATAACATCCTTTGCAAGCCATGTGACTCGAGTAAGTAAGGAGAATATTGAGTAGGCAAGGGCTAATGATAAAGCCTCACCCAGTTCAACCTTCTCTGAGTTGTAAGGTGTCACCAAAACAATAGCTTCTTTTCCATCACCACGTGGAGCTCTTATTATGCCAACGGTATTGATGGCATGTGATACACAACTATGGTTCTCTTTGATATTCCCAGAATTAGGGCTACCAGAAAAGAAGTGCAGTGGATAAAATTGACTCATTTGAGGGTGAAATTTGTGATAATAAACTTCAGAACCTGCATCTGCCATATGCTGTGCTATCAACCTTGGAATTTCTCTGTGTTGATATGCATAATAAGATACAACCATAAGGTTGAAAATAAATTGAAAATGGGAAAAAAACTAACAAATGATAAAATAAAATAAAACAATCAAAGATGCTGAGAAGATAAGACAATATTTTTCTTCACTTGCAGGCTTATACTGTTAAGCGAAGGGAAGCTTCAACTTCTAAACAACTTCAAGGAAAAGCAATGGCTTGTAAAACACTAATAAGCATTCAGGTTTGGCTGAGCCAATGGTCTTTGTATTGATTTTAGCATCTCTCAGATACAATTATGGCAAAAGTGCAAGAAATCACCTAGAAATAGTGAAACATGTAAACAGATTCATTCACACTTGGAAGATAGAAGAACTTAGCCACTTATAAATCCTTTATCACACAAGATGCTAGTCACAAATACTGAAGAAGAAGAGATCCGTCCAATGATTACTAGAAGGATATTACTTCTTGCACTGACATCATTATTTATGCAGTATGTTTAGAATTTCTTGGTTACATTCTCAAGAGAGCTAATGGCCAGACTTTCCTCATAACCAGTGCAAAATTCTATTCTCACCAAACCCAGATACTCGTTTTACATTTTCTTCCTTCACTTTAGACTGTTGTTGTTGCTAAGAAAGGAGAGAAGGGGAAAAAAGGAAGGTACCAGCTAGCTTACTGGTAGAGTCTCTAACTGGTTGTAGCAGAGACCAAGGATCAAGTCCTGCCTTCACCAAGGTTGGCGGGGGGGTTAAGGTTTTAGGGAGGGATACCACTGTTGTGTAGCCTATTTGCCTACCCAAAAAGGGAAAGATGATGTAGGGCCAAAATCTGAGAATATGGACATTCCTGCTTTGGGTGCCACATGTAATTTCTGAGCCCCAAAGCAGTATATGGATGCAAGAGGAAGCTTGCTATGAGGTATAGATGTATCAGGTCCACTTCATTCCTCTTTAGCTCAGCTGTCAAGAATTACAAAATCTCTTCTGTTTAAGGTTTGGAATAGTAGTTCAGAAATTATGTTTTTGATTTGGTTTTGCCTTAGTCATTCCAAAATCTGCTTTAAGTTGTCCTTAGAGTGTTAGAGACACAAACAGACAGAAGCTGTGGGTATATTCTAGAAGAAGAGGGCCACATCAGCCTAATGAATCAGTTTCAAAGATAGTTGAAGATAACTAAACAAGTTGACAGGTTGTTGTAATTCTGTTGTAAGTCAGTTATGATAGGAGTTAGACCAGTATAAGATAGCACTGTACCTACAATAAAGTGTTAATGAAGTTTTCCTCATTTTCTTTCTCTTTTCTTCTTCTACAAATTCAGGAGGTCATCCTCCCTCAAAGAGGAACTGAGTTGGGCAGATCCCCGACATTTGGTATCAGAGATTGCGACAGGAGGCATTATGCCAAGCACACGATCAGAAACCATGGAAGAGCGAATGGATCAAATGGAGATTCATCTGCAAAAGACCACTGGTGATTTGCAAGAAATCCAACACACTCTGGCAACATTGATGGCCCAGCTGGAGAAAAACTATACGGGCGGAAACCACATCAGTGATCAAGAAGGGAACAGCAGAGATCAAAAAGGAGGAAATTGTGTCTGGACGGCAAGTAGATCGGCCAAACTGGATTCCCAAAATATTTAGGTGACGATCCCATACTTTGGATATTTAGGGCGGAAATATACCTTGAATACCATGATACACCCAGTCACTAAAGGGTTCTCATTGCTTCATTCCATCTAGAAGGAGAAGCAATTTTGTGATTCCAATGGTTTTGTCGTACCCATCCAAAAATTTCTTGGGTAGATTTCACAGAAGTTCTGTGTATCCGTTTTGGACCAACAAGATTTCACAACTACGATGAAGTCCTGTCTAAACTCAAGCAAACAGGATCTATGAGGGATTATCAAATTGAGTCTGAAAGGTTATCAACTAGGGTTCAAGATTGGCCTGAAAAATCATTACTTGGCTGCTTCATCGGTAGCCTGAAAGATGATATAAGAATAGAAACCAAGGCCCTTCAACCCACTTCAATGCTTGTAGCGATTGGTTTGGCATGACTGCAAGAAGAAAGAATCAGTTGCCTTAAAAGAGTGAATTGACCAAGCCAGTTCAGCCTTGGCCTGCCATTACTACCTAGTCCACCTATCCAACCGAGTAGCCCATCAACCCTGGGATCCGGCCAGGCACCCATAAGAACTCAATCCAACACGTAGACAGAAGGCCCACAATCTAAGTACAATGCATCATCCCAGCCCCAGTACTATTAAGAAAAATATCATGGGCCAAGATGCAGGCCCAAAGAGACCACGGTCTCTACTATAATTGCGGCGACAAATTCGGTCTTGGGCATAAATATAATGCAACTATGCAAGAACCAGCAATTATTTCTGCGATAAGCGGAGGAACTGGATTCCAAGGGTGAGGCCCAATACACACCAAATCACATACAAATTGAATGAGAATATGGACCTGAATATGGTCTAGACCAACCCAAAATCTCTTTACATGCCACTAACAAGGTTAACATCCACCCAGACAATGAGAGTAGCTAGATCCCTATTGGGCTAGGCTATTCCAGTCTTGATTGATAGCGGGTCATCATTAAACTTTGTGGCCAAGTGGCTGCCAAACAATTAGGCCTAATCATTGAACAAGTGGCACCATTCAAAGTCCATGTAGCTGATTGTAATATTATCAGCTGTGACAATATTTGAAAGACGTTCACATAAAGTTTCAAGGTTATTTGTTCAAGGTGGAACTCTATCCATTGGATCTTAGTGGGGTAGATGCTGTACTGGGTGTACAATGGTTACAACAGTTGGGACCAGTTGTATGCAACTGGTCTCAGCTAACAATGGACTTTTCCCTTAATGGAAAGAATTACCGTTTGGATGGATTGGCCACAATTTCATCACAACCTGAGGGGCTGAGAGCCATCATTAAAACCAGTTACAATGAAGGGCAACCAATCCTATTGCGTATTGGGTTGGACCCCAGCCTAGTTTTGACAATTCCAGAGGAAGCATCCATTTCAGCATAAGACCAACAAGGCCTCCGGCAGCTGCTCCACACCTATTCGAATATTTTCTAGGAGCCTAAGGAGCTACCACCCTCCAGACCCATGGACCATAGACATCATCCCGGGTGCAGCTCCATCAAATGTCAGACCCTATTGTTATCCAAGATTCCAGTGGAAGGAAATGGAAAACATTGTACAAGAATTATTAGTGAAAAGGTTTATACAGCCCAGTTCAAGCCCATATTCAGCACCAATCCTCTTGGTCAAAAAAATAAAAAAGGACGGGACTCGGAGATTTTGCTTTGACTACCGTGCTTTAAATCAGATTATAGTAAAAGACCAGTTTCCCATTCCCAACTATTAGATGACTTACATGTAGCTACTATATTCTCTAAGCTTGATCTACACTCTACAGTCAGGCTAGCACCAAATATGGATGCACCTGACTGATGTACCAAAAATTGCATTCCGTACGCATGACATCATCATGTCATTTGGATTGACAAATGCACCAGCAACATTTCAAGCCATCGTGAAAGAGGTATTCCATCCCTATTTGCATCGTTTTATTTTAGTCTTCTTTGATGATATGTATATAGTGTTGATTGGCCTTCCCACCTACACCATTTAACCATTACCTTGGAACTTCTGAGACAATACCAATTATATGCAAAGGCCTCCAAATGTGGTTTTGAACAAACACAACTCCAATTGCCCCAACTTACATTTTCCAGGCCCAGCACTATTGGAGTTTGTTGGGACCCAAATACCTTCCCCTAACCCAACACAGGGAGTGGAGCAGGCCACTACCCATCAGCAGTACTCAAGGAAGCAGAAAGGACAGGCGACAGAGCCTCAGAATTAGTTACACAGAGAGGGTGATTCTGTCGACAGA